CGGCTTCACAGTGTCTCTATCAAGGCATCAACTCAAGGCTGCGTTTGGGATGCCATGCTGTGGTGCCCTCCAGTCAGAGTTGGAAGCTTGTCTCTGTGGATGTGCAGGGAGTGGGTACAGGGCTGCTCAAGTCTCGGCTGCTATCTGCAAGTGGGCAGGGAGGGCTGTGATTTCGCGTTAGTACACGGGGAGGTGATCCGTGCAGCCCAGTTACACTGACTGATGTTTTATTTCTGCAGGGGGAAGGCAGCTGTGCTGTGTCTGGTTTACCAGCCTGATGTACTGGTTACTGGATCGTACGACAAGACTGTAACCTTGTATGACCCGAGAGGTTAGTCCAGCGATTCGAGCACTTTTTGTTTAGAACATACAACGGTGCAGCACAGGAACAGGCCCTTTGGCCCACAATGTTGTGCTGAACATGACATCAAATGAAACTAATCCCTTCTGTCTGCCCTTGGTCCATATCCCTCCATTCCTTGCATAATCATGTGCCTGTCTAAAAGCCCCTTAAATGCCTTTATTGTGTCTGCCTCCACCACAACCCCTGGCAGCGCATTCTAGACTCTGACCACTCTGTAAAAAACTTGCCCCTCACATCTCCTTTTGAACTGTTCCCCTCTTAAATACATGCTCCCCTGGTATTAGACATTTCAACGCTGGGAGAAGGATTCTGACCATCAACCCTGTGTATGCATTTCATAACTTTATAGACTTCTATCAAGTCTCCCCTCAGCCTCTGCTGCTCCAGAGAAAACCGCCCAAGTCTTTCTAGTCTCTCGTTATAGCTCATACCCTCTAATCCAGGCAGCATCCTGGTAAACCTCTTCTGCACCCTCTCCAAAGCCTCCACATCCTTCCTGTAATGTGGCAACCAGAACTGAATGCAATACTCAAAGTGTGGCCTAACCAAAGTCTTATAAAACTGCAGCATGACATCCTGATTCTTGTACTCAACTCCCTGACCAATAAAGGCAAGCAATCCTTACCACCCTATTTACTTGCATGGCTACTTTCAGGGAGCAATGGATTTAAATCCCAAGATCCTTCTGCACATGAATGCTGTTCAGATTCCTGCCATTAACTGTATACTTTCCCTTAACATTTGATCTCCCAAAGTGCAGCACTTCACACTTTGTCATAGGGATCTTCTGGTTCATGCTATATGTGATTGGTGGCAGACTGATTATCATTGAACAGGGATCAGCACCTTCAGGAGAGGGGGATCTGTACTATTTCTATTCCTGATACTATTTCTGTCTGTTGGAGCTTTAGCCTTTTAACCTTCCATAGGCTCTAGTACAATGACTTGGGCTCAAACTTTTTCTGTCTCTCCCTACTTCGCTTTACCTCTCAGAGGGAGAGAGAGCCTAATGGTCATTGTGAACAGTATGGATTGAGGTTGGTTTCTGTGTGGTGTTTAATTCCACGTCTGACTGTGTACCTCTCCTGTGTCCCCTACAGCCGGTTACCCAGTGTTGGCCAGTCGCAAGCTACACTCCAGCGCTGTGCTCTGTCTCGCTGCCAATGACCACTTTGTCCTTTCAGGCAGTGAGGATCGGACATTAGTTGTGGTTGATCGACGAACCAATCATATTCTCCAAAAGCTACAGGTACATCAATTCAGACAGAGTTTAATCACAGACACAGCACTGACCCTGTCCCAGAGAGTTTAATCACAGCAGTGACACTGACCCTGTCCCAGAGAGTTTAATCACAGCAGTGACACTGACACTGACCCTGTCCCAGAGAGTTTAATCACAGCAGTGACACTGACACTGACCCTGTCCCAGGGAGTTTAATCACAGCAGTGACACTGACCCTGTCCCAGAGAGTTTAATCACAGCAGTGACACTGACCCTGTCCCAGGGAGTTTAATCACAGCAGTGACACTGACCCTGTCCCAGAGAGTTTAATCACAGCAGTGACATTGCATCTCTTCTTGTTCAAATCCCACCCATAACTGAACACACTTTCCTCCAAATGTTTCATTCTCTCTGTCAGTCTATCTCTTTTCTCGCTGTTTCTCTCTTTGTCTGAACATAGGAAGCTGAGGATACGATGTCACCTTTGCTCAGGTGGTTTGGGGACATGCTGTTAAAAAGATCTGACAGATTGCAGATAGTGGTTTGTATTGAAAGATATACTCTGTGGTTTAATGGAGATGTACATTCCTTCAAGACAAAGGGAAAGGTGGCTCTGCCATGGTTTATGTTCAGGTTTGACATTGCTCCAGATCAAAGCAAATGGCCTGTACAAATACCTGAGCTGGTAGAAAGCCTCTGGAGACAACCCAGAGAAGGTCTACTCGCTGATCCTGGGTATGGAGGAGAGGTTGAATGGATTGGACCTGTACTCATTGGAGTTTAGACGACTGATAGGTGACCTTGTTGAAAAATATAAGTTGATTAGGGAGCTGGGCAGGATTGATGTATAGAGGTTGTTAGCCCTTGTTGCGAAGGGCATCGTCCCAGAGTAAGAGGTTGCCCAATTAAAACACAGAAGAGGAGGAATGCTTTTGTTCTGAGGGTAGTGGATCCGTGAAATTATTTACCACAGAGGGCTGTTGAGACTGGGCTGTTAGGAATACTCAGGGCTGAGATAGACAGATGAAGGGGTTACAGACACAAGACAGGAAAGTGGAGCTGAGAATGATCAGCTCACTGAATGGCAAGGCAGATTGGCTGGGCTGAATGGCTTCCTTTTCTGAGCTATTCTTAAATGTGGGCAGGCCTGAGGAGTTGGTTTAATGTAGGATCCAGCAAATGAAGAAAAGAGAAGAGAATCTGAAAGTAAGCTGGTGAGGAGCACAACTGTGGGCTGTAGAAGCTTTGATCCACAGACAGGTTACAGCACAGAATAAGGCCATTCATTGTGTGCACGAGCTGAAGAAACTAACCGTCCATTCAAATGGCACTTTCCAGGCTCTGACGGGTTACACTGCCCCAAGGTGCAGCTCCAGGTTCCTTTTTCCATTGAAGGTTTCCATTGCGAACACTGAACTGGGCTGTGAGCGACGGATTTGCACCACCCTCTGGGGTGGAGAGGGGGGAGCGAAAATGTCTAATCCCTTTGCCCCTCTTCGTTGGGGATACAGCTGTTCACTATGCACTCTGCTAAGTCAATCCGCAGCCTCCCCTGTTCTGAGGGAAATGGGCCTCATCTCCCCCGCCAACCTTCGGTCAGATCTGCAAACTTCCATTGGTGTCTAAAAGGAAGGAAAAAGATTTTCAGGGGCTTTGACAGGGTCCAACACACCAGTTTGGTAAATAAAATTAGAGCACATGAGGATATGGGGTATTTTGAAAAAAAAAAGTTCATGGGAAGTGAGTGTCATAGGCTGGGCCAGCATTTATTTCCCATCTCTGGTTACACCCTTGAGAAGGTGCTGGTGAGCTGCTTTCCTGGAATGCTGCACTCAATGTGCTTTAGGCTGACCCACAATGCTATTAGGGAGAGAATTCCAGGATTTTGACCCAGCGACCGTGAAGGAACAGTGATATATTTCCAACTCAGGATGGTGAGTGGCTTGGAGGGGAACTTGTGGGTGGTGTCCCCATTCAGATACTAATATTCTACTGAAGCCTGACAATTGGTTAATGATAGAAAGCAGAGAGTTCTCGGGATAGCACGCTGTTACTCGTGCGGTTCCACCAGGATCAGTGCTAGGGCCACGACTGTTCACAATCTATATCAATGATTCAGATGTGGGGACCATTGTAATATTTCCAAGTTTGCCAATGACACCAAACTGCGAGGGAACGTATGTTTCAAGGAAAGCGCAAGAAGGCTTCATAAGGACTTTGGCAGCTTAATTGAATGGGTTAGAACATGCCAATGCAATATACTGTGAATAAATGAGAAGTTATTCAGTTTGGTAGCAGGATCAGAAAGTTGGAATATTTTTAACATGGTGAGAGGTTGGGAAGTTCAGGTGCTCCAAAAAGATCTGGGAGGCTGTGTCCACAAGCCACTCTGACCTGGCATGTGGCTGCAGCAAACAGTGAGGAAAGCAAATGGGATTCTGGCTTTCATTTCAAAGGGAATTGAGACAGAATCTTACTGCAATTGTATAGCACCTTGGTGACCCATCACCTGAGGTATTTGAGTGCAGTTTTGGTCACCTGGTCCACTGCCAGTGAAGGTTCACCAAATGAACCTACGGAGCGGTAGGATTGTTTCTTGAGGGAAGATTGAGGAGACAGCATATGTGTTCCTGAGAGTTTCAAATATCCAGAGGTGATCACATTGAAACTCATAGTATTCTTGCAGGTTGTGACAGAGTGAATGGAGATAGGATATTCCCCCTGGCTGGTGAATCCTGGGATATCATCTCAGGATCAATGCAGGAATGGCCATTAACACTAAGATGAGCAGGAAGCTCTTCATTCAGGAGATGGTGAACCTTTGCAATTCTCTTCCCCAAATGCCTATGGAAGCTCCATCATTGAATAGATTCAAGACAGTAACCATTAGATTTCTGATGAATAAGAGCATTAAGAGATATTGAGATAGAGTGGGCAAGCGGCAAGAGGAGATGGGTGGCACGTGTGAATGACCTACTCCTGTTCCTGTGTTCATCTCTCTGAACCTGGTCTATTCCCTGTCATGTTTTCTCTGCACCTTGCCCCCTCCTCCACTCCTCTTTCTCTCTTTATCTATCTCTCTCTCTCTCTTTCTCTGCTCCTTTCCACTGTCTCTCACTCTCAGGTGCACACTATTTGTCTGTCTGTCTCTCTCTTTGTCTCTCTTTCATTGTCTGTGTGTGTCTGTCCGTCTCACTGTTTTTCTCTCTCACTCACACACCCTGTCTGTGTGTCTCTGTCTCACTGTTTGTCTCTCTCCCTCAGTTGGATTCCTATCTGTTGACCATGTCGTATGCTCACGGTCAGCTGTGGGCTGGGGACAAGTGGGGACTGGTCCATGTCTTTGACCAACAGGGTGGCAGCTTCCAGCACGTCAAGGTAAGACCATGTACCCTGGGTGGGGGGGTTTGGGGAATGGTCCACATGGGTATTGATGGGCTAAGCCAGGGCATTGATGCTGTGTAGCTCAGAGATATGGGGCATCTAACAGGAACCTTGCAAGCTGCTGTTGTTATGACTCAATGCGCTCAGGGTGCCAATGATCAAATCTCACTATTCCAGACACAATTAAACGCCAAGCCGATCAGTTTGCCTAACTGCTATTCAGGACAAAACTAATTCACACCAGATTTTGTCATACACAGGAAAATAACTCTGTAAGATAGAAACACATCTATTTTTTAACAAATGGCAGAGACAAAAAAAAATCATTATTCCATTACGATGCAATTTAAATTTTACCCCATTAAAATCTCAAGCATACATGCATTCATTCAGAAGACATCTCTCACAAATATTATGGCTGGAAAAATATAGTCAGTGAAAACAGTTTGTCGATCGGAAGAGTCCAGATCACAAGGTAGTGAGGTGTCCTGTGCAGTTTCTTTTGCTTCTAGTTATGGTGACAAGCTGTTATCTACAGAGTGATGGTCACTCTTTAATTCAATAGCTGATAAGATGAACCAAACCCTCCCTTTGGATTAGAATTCCTTAGAAAAAAAACTCTCCCTCTACACTGATAAATACAGAGACAAAAATGCTTGGTGTTTCCATGGATGGAAAAACTGGGAAGGCAGTTCAGTGAGTCCATGTTCACAGGACTTGCTGAGATTTTTTTTTTTTTTTTTGCTGATCTAAGCACTGCTTCTTGGTCTGTCTTCTGGGGATACATTCACTATTTGCATGAGGTGTAGGGTGACACTTTTACACACAGGAAGGCCCCTGACTCTTACAGCACCTGATGAGAGGACAGAGACTGGCTAGCTTCAGGATGAGATGCTTTTTACAGCAGAGATCAACAGCTCCTCCTCCTCTTGAGCTCTGATTTCCAAACATGCACACCCTCAAAATGTTCATCTAGCTGGGAGCCAATTACCTAGCTGTTAGCAGGCAGAAGTCTTTTGTCATAGATAACTGGTCACTGGTCCATACAGCAATCAGCTATTTATTGCCAGCCACAGCTTGCTGTGGACACACCCCTTGGCTCCAGCTCATCTGCAAACTAGAGGCTTCCACTACTGTAGAACATAAGGTGCTGGAGCAGTGTTAGGCCATTCGGCCCACTGAGTCTGCACTGCAATTCAATCATCAGTAATACTTTTCTCAACCCCAAATCTCTCACTTTCCCAGATTGTATTCCATCTGCCACTTCTTTGCCCACTCTCCCAGCCCGTCCAAGTCCTCTGTAGCCTCCTCAATACTACCCCGTACCTCCACCTAGCTTTGTGTCACCTGCAAACGTAGCAACAATGCCCTCACTTCCTTCATCCAGATCATTAAAGTGTAATGTGACAAGTTGTGGGCCCAGCACTGACCACTGTCGAACTCTATTAATAGTCACCGGGTGCCACCCTGACAAAGACCCTTTATCCCCATTCCCTGCCTTCTCCCAGTCAGCCAATCTTCTATCCACGCCAGTCCCTTGCCCCTAACAGTATGGGCTCTTATTGAACAGCCTCTTGTGTGGCACCTTGTCAAAGGTCAATTGGAAATACTCGTTGAACAGCAGCTGTGTAAATAGTGTTTAAAGTGAGGGTCAAGGAAATTGCTTTTAACAGGTGCAGCAATCCTTTCCCCATTTCATACCGCAATCAAAAATACAGAAATATGAAAAGATACAGTCTTTCCATCTTGCTGTCACACTGGCTATTTCTTTGATTTCTCCCTCTCAGTGTTTTAATGTTGGCCACCGCTCACAGCTTACAGGAATCAAACAGTCCCTCGGGACCTTGTACACTTCGTCAACAGATAAAAGTATCAAGGTAAGCTTTGGGGATTGATGTGCGTCTGATCCTTGGCACTGACATAGTCTGTAGTGCTCACAGGCTTCCTCAATGTTCCCACGTTGTATCCTCTCTGCCTGCTGGACGCTGGTGGCTCAGGGAGTGCACTGGCTCCAAGAGGGGTAAATGCTCAGGACTGCAGTCACTGCTCTGATCCACGTCGATCGAGACTGATTTGTAGTTTCACTGCCTTTAGCTGTTGTGGTCCTGTGTCATGTTTACCAGGCGACAATGAACCTTTTGACCTCCCAGCATCCAGAGGGTTTGCAGGAGTGAATCGCGATTTCTTGTCCCCTTCCTGTGATCCTCTGTTCACTCCTAAATGGATTCACTCTCCCCTGACTACAGTTTCCCCTTATTCTGAATCACTTTATCATTTTAACACCTCCCAGCCGATCACTGTCTGTACCCCTGCCATTGACAGAATCCATGCAAACTGTTTTAATCTTGAGAGCTGGCACACAGCTCTGGAGTGTAGGGAGGGAGTTAATGGTTGGTTCAGCGAGCAGTTTTGTGTTAATCAGGAGCTGTTTACTTACACACACTGTCTGTCTGTCTCTCTCTCTCTGTCTCTAGGTGCATGTGCCTACAGAGCCTCCACACACAGTTTGCACTTTACCACATGTTGATGTAGTGAATGGGGTGAGTATATTAATAGACTCTGTCTTTGGGGAATGGTGTGGGTTTGGAGTTGCTATTTCCTGCGGTGATTGCTCTTTGTTGCAGCTATAACCCTCGTGATCCTGGGATAGGTTTGTGGGTGCAGTTTTACAAATGGCCCAGAGACCCCTGAGCCCTGCAGACAGTGTTGGAATTCAAGGAGTGGTTTGGATTGGGCTGATCTTCATAGTCAGTCAGCTCTCACTGTGCTCATTGCAAGGGGATCTGAGATGGGATTAACTGCTGCAGAACCTTGGTGAGTCCTCACCTAGAGAAATGTGTCGACTTTCAGTCCCTTTGTGTAAGGAAGGTATGTACTTTCCATAGAGGGAGTGCAGCAGATGTGCTCCAGATTAAAACAAAACGAACAAAATAAAAAACTGCGGAGGCTGGAGGTCTGAAACAAATACTGAGAATGTTGGAGAAACTCAGCAGGTCTGGCAGCATCTGTGGAGAGAGAAACCGGTTCTGAGGAAGTTTAACAATTTCAGTTTTGGGGCCACAGACTAATCCTGGGATTGAAGGATTGTTTTATATGGAGAGATTTGAGAAAACCGGGTCTGTATAGAGTTTCAAAGAATGAGAGGTGACCTCATTGAAACTTAAGACAATTCTTACAGGCTGGATGCAGATAGGATGCCTCCCCTGATTGGCTCTGCTAGAACCAGGAGGTAAAATCTCAGGATCTTATAGGCCATTAAAGAGTGAGATGAGGAGGAATTAACTCGCTCAGAGGGAGGTGACTCTTTGGAAGTCTCTACTTCAGAAGCTGTGGGTGCTCAATCCTTGAGCACGTTCAAGACAGAAATCAGTGGGTTTTTGGAAAATAATGGCATTAGGCCATATGGAGAACTGACGATATAGAATGATGAAGCTAACCTAATGGGCTAAATGGCCTACCCCCCCTTTTCCTATGTTACATAGAAAGACTGACCATAAAATTGTGGTACCAATAAGCACCAAAGCCCTAAGCAGCGAGTCTTTACCCTGAGGAGGTTCTCACTCTGAGGAGTCTGTGCCTCTTGGATCCCCTAGGTGAGGGTAGAGAGAGGTTCTGCTGGAGTAGGTGAGGGGAGAGCTGTGTGTTTGTGGGAATGTTGGAAAGCACTGGGGTAATGGTGACCCTGATGTTTTTTCAGATCAGTGTGGAGGGAGACGTGTTGGCAGCTGCTTCGGGATCAATGACTGTGGAAATCTGGAGGAGGACAAAGTGACGAAGAGACTGGTTTGAGCTTGGAGAGTGGTTCAGGCTCTTGAGAGGCTCTTCAGTTGTTGGACAGTCTCATCTTTACCAGGGCTGCAGGCAGGCAACTGGTGGTTTTGGTGGGTGGGGTTCCCTCTTAAACACGACTACTCATGTCATGTGACTGCAAACTCCTCCCACCACCCCTACCCAAAATGTCCTAATGCATTAAATTCCTATTGAACAAGACACTTAATATATTAATATTATTCCTGTCGTCACTTGCATCTCGTGTTTCCATGTGACACTGGAACATGCTGATAGTGTAGAAATGTGTGGCCCTGACCAAACCCCTCCTTGGTCAGCAAATGGGGCCACAGTTAGACCTGAGTCTCTGTCTTGGGGTGAGTTTCTGGAAAGGTCTGGTCGTTAACCCCTTTCTAAGCCAGTGCACGCCTACAGCCACCAGATTACAGCAAGCATAGAGAATACAATGTGTCTGTGGAATAGATCCTGCTTTGTGAACACGAATAGAAGACATTTGAAGGGGTTAATGCCAGCAATCAGGCTGGTGTCCTGAATGGTCAGTGCCGCTCGCTGAGATCTGTAGGGAGCATTAACCTTGCAGACCTGACTGTCTGACTGGTGTTTGAGTTGTGCACTGCTGAGTGGTAATCTCCCAATGTCATGGCAACCACATCCTGTAAACCCCCATCCCCACCGCCCACCCCCGAACTGGTCTGGTCCCTTGATTCCACAGGCAGCCTCTGCTCTGTAAGTAGGTAATAACAGCAGGAGCTTCAGATACGGCGGCTTCACCGTCAGTCTGATTCCTCAGGCTGGTGTTACCACCCAAGTCGGAAGGTAATGTGTGTTCAAGTCCTGCTGTCGGGGTAGGGAGTGCTGCACTGGCACAGCTACCATTTATTTGAGACATCAAACAGCAGGCCTGGGTTTCTTCGCAAGTGGGTGTAGACAGTCCCGCAAGGCACTACATTCCAAAGGAGGACAGGGGAGTTAAATAATGACTTTTTAAACAGTTGTTAAATATACTTATTACGAAAACATGCACACGTCCTGACCAATGTATATCCCTGAAGCAACATCACGAAAACAGATTCTCTGGTGATTTACCTCATTGTTGTTTGTGGAATCTTGCTGTTCAAATTGGCTGCTGCATTTCCAGAGTTATAATAGTGAGTGCATTTGGAAATTACTTTGAGCTTGTCAAAGTTTTATGATTGGAAATGGAAGTCTTGTTCTTGTAATATTTGTTTAATTTGCTAAGGGGCTGACCTGGAGAATTCCTTTGCTGCTACTGTGACATTGACTGACTAGCTTTAATAGTGTGCTTCTGGAATAAGAATACAATTTAAATTAAGAAAGAACCTCTCTAACACCTCTGGGACTGGCTTGTTCCCTCTCTGTATGTGCTGTGTCATGTTACAAATGGAGAAACAGAGAAGCATTTGCTTAAAGGCCCAGACAGCCAGTGCGCGCTCATTCCACAGAGCAGCAGCTCAACAAAACAGCAACAATGCACAAATGGCAGAAAATAACTTGAACGTGGGAGAATATTTATTAATAAAAATAAAAGATTTGAACAGCCTTCGAGGTGAATCATATTGTGTTCATGTGGCAGAAAGGCCACAAATTCTCACCTGCATCCGAAGCTCAAGAATTCAAGTTTCTTTCCAGAAACTTCAACACAAAATCCAGGCAAACAGTCCCATGTGAAATACCGTGGGAGTGCCATGTTGTTGGAGGATCAGCTGTTGGAGGGTCAATGCCAAGGGAGCGCTGCACTGTCGGAGGGTCAGTGCCAGGGGAGTGCCACACTGTTGGTGGGTTGGCGCTGAGGGATTGCCGCGTTGTTGGAGGATCAGTGCTGAAGGATTGCAGGGCTGTAGGAGGGTCAATGCTGAGGGATTGCCACGTTGTTAGAGGATCAGCACCGAGACAGCGCCATGCTGTTGGAGGTGCAGTCCTTTGGGTGAAATGTTAAATTGTTTGTGGCTTGGATGTAAAAAATCTGGCCCTGATTTGAAGAACAGTGCAGTCCTGATTGGTCAGGAAACCAATCCTTATCCCTAACCATCAACCCCATCATTGGCTGCATGATTATTGCATCGCTGCACATGGACACAAAGTTGCTGTTTTGTCTGATTATGATTAATTTTCGGAGCTGTCAGTCAGACCCTTGGAGATGTCCTGGAGAAGGACCCTGGATGTTTGGAGTTATCTCAGTGCCCTAGCCTGTGATCAACACAGACAGGTTCTGAGAAAGCAGCAGAAATATGAGACAGCTCAGAATTAACACTGACCAACGTTTAATTGTCAAAAACCATTCAGATCCAAATTGGAGACTTTAAACCAACAACAAACACATACTTGCCCCGACCCTGTGCCCAGCTCATGCCCCAGCTCCATGGAGCTGCAGCCAATGGCAAGAAAGTGGTGGGGTGTGTTGCGGACAGTTATTAAGGGCCTCTCTTTGGACACCACAGGGTGGCTGGGGTGAGAGCTGGGGGATCCCTCAGGCCTGACCGTGATACACAATCCCCTGTCTTCCCCCACCAATCTCTTTCTCTTCGCTGCTTCATCCTTGTGTTCCACTCTGCGTCTGGTCCCAGGATTTGAGGGGTTGCAGGGTGGGGGAGACAGAGACAGGGGAGGAGTACATTACAGGGTGAAATATGAAGAATCGATCTGTTTTGGACAGAATCTGGGGTCCCAGTGGGCAGTGCCCTGAGTGAAGTTATAATATGATGCAGGGCTTTTTGTCCTTGAAAGGATTGTCTGAGGTCGGGATTCCTGCCACCAGTGGGTCGTTTATTACATGGTCCTCGCAGTAACGCATCAGATCAGCTGCAGCTTTGGAAATCTGGAGACAAGAACACAGAGTGAGACGTGGAGCTGGTAGAAAGTAATTGCTGTAAGAGTAGGGGGAAACCCAGCCTGGCCTAATGGAAGACTGAACAGTGATAGTCACACAGCATGGAACAGACCCTTTGGTCTGACTCGTCCATACCAACCACGTTTCCCAAACTAAACTAGTCCCACTTGCCTGTGTTTGGCCGTTTTCCCTCTAAACATTTCCTATTCATATACCTGTCTTTTAAATGTTGTAGCTGTACCTACATCCACCGCTTCCTCTGGCAGTTCATTCCACACATGAACCACTCTCTGTGTAAAGAAGTTACACTTCTTGTCCCTTTTAAATCTTTCTCCTCTCGCCTTAAAAATATGCCCCCTAGTTTTGAACTCCACCCACCCTCAGGAAAAGACCTTGGCTATTCACCCTATCCATACCCCTCATGATTTTATAAGGTCACCCCTCAAACTCCTATGCTCCAGTGAAAAAATTTCCCAGCCTATCCAGCCTCTTCTTATAACTCAAACCCTCCAGTCTGAGTATCATCCTTGTAAATCTTTTCTGCATCCTTTCCAATATAATAATAATTTTCCTATAGCAGGGTGACCAAAACTGTACAGCACTCTGAAAATCCTCAGTTAGTGACAATGAACTTTAACAATGATAACAATCGTGCTCTGGTATCTGTGCAGTGCCTCTTGGGTGAAGTTGCTCACCATGATTTTTTACAATGACCTCTGTGACTGTTTGTTTTCTCCTACCCTTTTCTACAGCCTGTGACTGATGCAGTACATAAAACACCTGGGAAGAAAAGCTCTTGTGGTGCAGTGGTAGTGTCCCTACCTCTGAGCCAGGAGACCTGGTTTCAAGTCCCAACTGTTCCAGATGAGCAGATTGATTAAAACCTCCCAGGAGACAGCAGATAGTGAGAACATGCCCCATGTGCGTGACAGTCTAATCAGCAACTTGGAAGAAATGTCTTTACTCAGAGTCATGAGAATGTAAAACCTGCTCCCACACAGACAGTTTAAAATGAATTGTGTTGATGTATTTAGGGAGAACACGAGAGAGGATGGGATGGAGGGAGAAGATTAATACTGAGTCGGACAATTTAAGCTGAATGTTCTGATTGGGTGCTCTGTAGTTCATATATTTCTATATCGATGTGTATTGGGTAGTGACACAGCTTGGAAACTGATATTTATTTCTCAACATAGCTTGTGTGTTTGTGAATAAAGTGTGAAATGGAACATGAATAAGAAGGTTTTCTGAAGTGAGAATCAATGCCTACCATTTGGGAACCTCCCCCCACACTGATTACAATTTTCACACAGACTAATTAAAGCAAGGACTGAGGGTGAATAGATCTGAGGTGTTGCCTTTTGTATAGAACCATAAACCCAGATGCCCAAGATCAAAGCAGCTGAACAGAATTAGACCCCAGTTTGTCACATGATCTTCGAATCAGTTATTATTAACCCAATCCCACATTCTGACAATATTGGAATAAGGAATTGCAGGTGCTGGGAATCTGAAACAGAATCAGAAATTGCTGGAGAAAGTCAGCAGGTTCCGCAGCCTCTGTGGGGGGTAAGCAGAATTAACGTCTCAAGTCCAGTGACCTTTTGTCAGAAGCTGCTGGTGAAAGGGTCACTGGACTCAAAACATTGGCTTTGTTTTTCCCGTCCACAGAGGCTGCGCGACCTGCTGAGTTTCTCCAGCACTTCCTGATTTTGTGTCTGACAATGTTGGAAGTTGGCTGTTGGCTGTTGTGTCCTGGAGTAAAACTCGTTCACCTGGAGATGGGGAGAAGAGTCGAGGATCTCCGTTTTTTGATTGACAACACGAGTTCTAAATTGTGGCTTTTACTGCATCAGCCAATATATAACCAATTCCCCATCTCCCCGGGGGGACCTATCTGCTCATCGATCCGCTGCCTTCAGGGTGGGAGGGAGCTTGTGCCACTCACTGGCCATCGGTGGAGAGTAGGGAATTAATGAATTAATCTGTGGAACATTTTGGAGAGTACATACCAACATACAAATTAGAAACTGGAGTAGGCTATTCAAGCCCTTAGTTGCTCTGGTATTCAATAAGATCATGGCTGATCAGTTTGTGTTTTGAATTTCACATTCCCACCTACCCCCATTATCTATGATTCACCTGCCTAACAGGAATCTACCCACATCTACCTCAAGAATATTCAATGATCCCATCTCCACTGCCTTCTGAGACATCAATTTCCAAAGTTGCACAATCCTCAGAGAAAAACAAATTCCTCATCTCTGTCCTAAAAGAGTGAGCCCTAATTTTAAAACCATGCCCCCCTACCCCCCACCAAATTATGGACTGACACACAAGAGGTAACATCCTTTCCACATCCACCTTGTGAAGATCATTCATGATCTTATACACTTCAATTAACCTCAATCTCTAAAATCTACTTCAAACAAGCCCAGTATGTCCAACCCATCCTTGTTACACAATCCACTCATTTCAGGTATCAATCTGGAGAGTCTCCTTTGACCTGCCTCCAGAGCATTGATATCTTTCATTGAGTAAGGAGACCAAAACTGCCCATAATATTCGAGGTAGATACAATCTCAGCAATGCCCTGTATAACTGTAGCAGAACATCCTTACTTCTATGTTCAATTCCTCTCATTGTAAAAAATTGCATTCAGTCAGCCTTCTAATCATTTGCTTCGTGTGACTTTGAATGCATTGTGTACCTGAACACCCAGTTCCACTCACATCTCCAGTTTCTGCAGTTGTTCTCTGTTTATGTCATAATCCATTTTGTTCTTCCTGTCAAAATGAACAACTTTACATTTTCCCACCTTACACTCTTTCTGCCAGATATTTGCCCACTCACATAATGTATCTATATCGGTCTGCATCCTTGTTATATCCTCTTCATAACTAACTTTCCTATCTGTCTTTATGTCATCTGAAAATTTAGCTACTATGCCTTCAATCTCTCCATCTAATCATTGATATACATTTAAATGTTGAGGGCCCAACGCAGACCCCTATGGGACTTCACATTCTGCCAGTCTGAAGAAGAATCTTCTTGCACATTGTTTACTTTTGGCCAGCTAGTCTTCCACCAATAGCAATATCTTAACTTCCTGCACTACGAGCTCCTACTTTGCACAATGACCATTAATGGGTAGCCTTGTCAAATGCCTTCTAGAAATCCAAGTACAGCACATTAGTGGGCTTCTCTTTATCCACTGTGCATGTTACTACTTCCAATAAATTGTGAAATATGACTTCCCTTTACACAAAACCATGCTAACTCTTCCTTGATTACCTTGAGGTTTTCCGAGTGCCCAGTTATAATTAATCCTGTCACATTACACAATTTAACCTGCTCTGTGGTTGCTTCCAGAAAATGCTGCTCTAAGAAACTATTTTAAAAAAAATTCCATGAAGTCCTCATCCAGGCTACCACTGCCAATGTGATTTTTCCAGTTTATAGGTAGATTAAAGTCATCCTTGATTATTGCATCTCTTTGTCACAGACACCCAGACTTTCTTCTTGTATATTTTATCCCACATTGTGGTTACTCCTAGGGGGCCAGTAGACCATTCCCATTGGTGAAATCTTCCACTACTATTCCTCATCTCTACCAAAACTCTTTCTACATCCTGATCCCCTAAATTGAGATCATCCTTAACCGTTGCACAAATGTCACGCTTGATTAGGATTCCCAATTGGTTAATCAGAGTGTTCTGGAGAGTAGAGGATTGATTGGTTAATATTTTTCATAAATTATTTACAAGTAAGTCCCAACTCTGAAGCTGCTCACTTGAATTCTTTTGATGCCAGCCTCCATACGAAGTTGTTCCACAGCCTTCCTGGCCTGAGCGATGTGGCTCATGGTGACCATTTTTGAAGTCATCGTGTAACCCTTTGGGATTTGCTGTCAGTAATTTCACAGTCACAGACACAGAACTAAAACAAGAAAACAGTGATGCTGGTACAGTCAGTCATACAGCAGGGAAACAGACCATTCGCTCCAACCAGTTCACACCGAACATAATCCTAAACTAAACTAGTCCCACCTGCCTGCTCCTGGCCCATTTCCCTCCAAATACTTCTTCTTCATCTTGGAATTCAATAGACGATTACCATTGACCATTTACAAATCACCCATGACACCTTAACAAACACAACTGATTTTTAAAAATGTATTCATCATTGGGATGTGTTGCTGGCTAGGTCTGTGTATTGCCCAAATAGCAGTCAACCACATCATTATGGCCTAGAGTCACGTGAGCCATTTAAGGACGGCAGATTTCCTTCCAGAAAGGCTATTACTAACCAGATGGGTTTTATAACCATTGAGTGCAGTTTCACGGTCACCATTAGGCTAGGTAATGTATTGGAAAGACAATTCTAGAACATTAGATATGTCACTTATTCATGTACTGGTTTAGAACCCAATCTAACCAAGCAGAGAAACTGTGAAAGGTGGATAAGATACAGGGTTATTATTTAACCAACACAGATCCTTGGAGCTAAGAGATAGCCTTTCCTCACTGACTTGAATAAATGGCCTAGAGGAATATGGTCACTGATTTGAATAATTACCTCCAGACCATTCAAACAACAGAGTACAGGTATCTGTACAAACTATCCCAAAACAAACCGGGCAATACAGAATAAAACACAGAACTGCGGATGCTGGAAATCTGAAACATAAACCAATTGCTGGAGGAACTTGAGGAAGAGTCACTGGATCCAAAACATTAATTGTTTCTCTTCTCAGATGTTGTCAGACTTGCTGAATTTCTCCAGAAGTTTCTGTTTTTGAAACAATACAAAACTTGGACTCTGATAACTATACGCCTGTCACTAAGTCTCCCTTCCCATTAGCCCTCTTCCCCCGTCACACCTTCTCCCGTCCCTGTCTGCTCCAGGTTAAATTCTGGCTTTGATGGGTCCCCTTTCCCCTGGGTTTCAGGTCCTCCACAGCCAGCAGTGCATTGAGCCGGCCTCCCCTCAACCCTAACTTCACTGCTGTCTTTAATCTTCACTTTTATCCGACACTACAACCCCTTGGAGCTGATGTAGTTTTGGAACAGAAATCCATTCACCTGTCTAAACCCATGCCAAGCAGCAATTCCTGATGAGAAGCTTTGTGTTGAAAGCAGTTTATTAACTGATGTTAAGGATCAAGGACAGCTGAACATACCTGAGCTCAGGGTGAGTTTCCAGTTGCTGTTTACTGAAGCTCAGGCAGACACAATGCAGGTAAATCACCAGAATCAGATCCTGATTCTTCTCCGAGATACGGTGATGATGTGGTGGTTTCATGGAGATAGCTGCATTTCCCCAGTCTGATCCATCAGCTGGTGTTGTTGACTGTGCCCCAGCTCCCTTTCCCCATCACAGCCTGGACCCTGGGGTTTCACCACAGAAAGCTGCGCTTTAAAATGTGTCACAGGACTGGCACACACTGAGAATTCTTCAGTTAAATGTCAGACTTCAAAAACAGCCCTCCCCTCAACTCCCTTGCCTGCTGTCTACTTATAATTCTTTGTTTTAAAAATAAGTTCTCTCTGGAATTCTTCTAATCGTTTGGAGGCCCTCAGCTCCCAGAGCTTCACCTCAAATCTTCAAAGTTAAAGATTTTGGATTGAAGAAAGTTGAAGACGCTTAAAACTTCCAGCTGCCAGAACCACAACACATTCCCTTCCATGGTTTTAACCTAGTGATTGTAAACAGATCAGACTGCAATCACACCCAGACAGCTACCACACAACTCCCCCAACACTCTCACCAAACCTGCCCCACCTTCCCCCAAATACCTCTGCCCGCCATACCCTACCCCACAGGCCCACAAAATACCCTCAAATCCTCATCTTGCTCCAAACCCTTGATCCAACACTCAATACCTATCCCTCCAGCACTCCCCCAATCCCCTCAGCCCACATCCTCCCCTTATTCCCTCAACCCACACTCTCCTCTGATTTCCCCCCCTCCCCGGTCCCCACCCCACCCACACCCTCTCTTGGTCCCTCCCCCAAACCCACACCCTCCCTGGTCCCCTCCCCCAATCCCCTCCCCCAATCCCCACA